CATATATGTATGTATGTATGTATTTGTTACATATAACAATATATGAGTTGTAAGAAATGATTACTAGTAAATGTTTACATTATATGTTTATTGCCTCACTAAGTCATAGACTTAGCGTGTGATTGTTTCACACGTAGGTTACAGAAGTGAGAAGAGTAAAGAGCAATGTGGAGCAAGACAAGTCAATTCTCCTTACCGAAGGTCAGATCAGAAGAAACATGAATAATATGTATGTTAACAACTAAAGTTTTAGTTGACATGTATTCAAAATAATGTATTGTATAAGCTCTGAATAGTTTTGTAAACGTTTTGAATAAGTTATATGTTATAAATGTTTTAAATTATTCACTAATTTTGTACAAGAAAAAGTTTTGAAAAGTCAATGTGATACCTCAGACTCGGATCCGGGTCGGATACGGGTTAGGGGTGTTATACTGATACTCCAGGGTTTAGTATCGGTACCCTCAGAAAGAAAAAGGCTAGGAGCCTTATTTTGCGTAGAGACTCAAATGAGGGGTCTATGGGCATCAAACTTTATTAATAAAAGCTTGCAAGTGAAAGCATAAAATAATGTGTGTGATAATAATAAGAATGTTATGAGGTAAGATTCCATAAGACTTATGTCTTTGTTTGACACTCGGGAAACGATGAGGACATCTGAGTTCCTGTGTATACACAAAGATCATCTTGTTTGGTTTAGTCATATCCTGTTATATCCAAATCGGTACTAAGGCACTTTTGATGCTAGCCAGGTGTATGATTTTCATGTTATATGACTCAGACCTCACCTCAGGTGGGCCTCTTAGATGAAAGATGTTGTAATTTTGTCACTTGAATCTTACTCAGAGCATCTTTTGTAAGCAAACAAGGGTGTGAGTCCCAAGATGCTATGTTACCCTCAGATTACACCATATTGTTTTTCGTTCTGATTATATGATTGACACACTTTATTGTTTCATGATTATGCCTGCTAGCATGCGCATATGGTGAATTCATTAAGTATAGTAAAATTGTTTGTGTGTCACTAAGCTAGTGAACTCAACGTTCGGAATTTGTTTCCGTACGCATGTCCTTAGGTGCTAGTTCGAGGAGCTCATCACCAAATCATGAATTACAGATTTGATCAAGCTTGTTCAGAGTACTTCTTGAGTTTTTAGTGGACATGCATGTATTATCCATAGACCTTATAAATACTTGACTCGTAACTCCATTTTGATTAACTCAGTTTATTTTTTAGATGTACTATTGGGAGCGCCCATTTTTGTAAATTGTATGAACTTACGTTTTAAACTTATGTTATAGTTTGATTTACATGGTTATGGTTGATTTATAATGATATTGATTTTGAAAAAAATGATTAGTCACTCTGGTTTCGTGTAATATTCTAATCCTCCAAATTTTAGGTCAGATCGAATTAGGGTGTTACAGACTCATCAACATCACCTTTAATTTTTAACTATGAATAACTAAATGAAACCAAAACTAAACGTTAGGTATGATTTTGAAAATAAAAATAGTTGGATGACCAAAACAAAATAAAAGTGATAGTTGAGGTATAAACACATAGTTTACCCTAAAATTTAAAAAATATATTTTTTAGGCATAAAGAATATAGAAAAGTATAAAATTAAACCAAATACGACCAAACATGACTTGTATAATTACCCTTTGAATAATGAAATTGTTAATAGAACAAATTATGATAAGAGAATTGCCTTTTTAACGATCTTTGTAAAATATGATCTGGATTGATCGGCCAATAGATTAATAATAAATGATTAATTAAAAAAATAACTCTGCTCACATCTCAAATCACAATATATAAAGAAAATAGTACGGCTAAATAAGATTCTACGACCAAAATCTTTTAAGCTAAAAAATAATGATCAAAAGAAGAAAAAAATCAAATTGCTTTCCCCTAATTAAAATTGAATCGTTAAATATATATTATTATTAAATATATGATTTTGAATCAACATGCATAATAAATGTAATAATATTGATCAAATTAAAATTTAACTTATAAAATATTAGTTAGTAAAAAATATATAAAAATTAATTTTATATTAATAGAAATGAATCCTCCGTATATATAATATGAAATTTCGAATTCACAAAAGGAGCCATGATAACGATGGAATTGATCGAACGATTTCTGCATGCCTAGAAAAGGATATATATAATAATCCACTCAAGGATTTTTACTATTTTTTTCTACTTGGAAATGGGTTAAAATATAGACATTTAAAATAGGGCCAGCTAGTATGAATCAGGTATTAAATAATATATTTTCAAATTCCAAACAATTTAGTTGGACTTAAATTATATATATAGAATTTATTGAGTAATTTTAATGAAAAAAATGTTATTCTTCCTAAAAGTTTTAAATTTAAACAGCTGTATCTATAGGTATATATATTGTTAATTGATTAATTTTTTTAAACAAATACAATTTTTATAATCACCACATATTATTCAAAACAAATAATTAATTATAATATCCTTACAAGATTTAGATGAATTATAATATCTTTTTTTGACATGTGTCTAGAGATGCTAAAAGTAATTCGCTCATTTATTGGCACTTGAGGGTTCACGGAAAGGACCCAAGGGTGAGTTCAAAGGGAGCTTCAGGTATGTACAAACAAGGCACCTGAAGGAGTGACACCCAAGGGGAGGTAGAAAAGGCAACCGAGGAACTGCATGAAGGGTGCCCCATATATATTTATGTATATATTTATTTATGAATAACACCACATTTTTAAGTATAAATAAAATGAATGTGGATCTTATGAACATAAAAAAATACTTGAAGATCATAAAATTTTATGAGAATTTATTTAGAAATCATACTTTTGTAGGTTGTGGGTTATTCGTCAAGAATAATTTAAAGATTATAAATGTGTTAACGTTTATCGTACTCATTGTCGATAAGAAAATTGAGAGTTAATTGCTCTGGACATATCACACGATTTGCGAAGAGCAATGGAAAGCGGTTGTAGTGATGGTGATGACCTTAGTGGGTCCTTACATGCGGTCATGGGATTAGAAAGGAAATATTGAACCCTTACTCTATATTGAGCGATTAAAAAGTTAAATTTTTGTGATGAGTGAGGATCCCCTTGTAATATGTTAATTTATTATATTATAAAATTAAATATATAATTATATAAAAAATAATTAACCCTAATGCATAAAAGAATTTATTTTTTGGTCTCTAAGTAGACAATAGGTGCCTAGTTGTCATCATTTAAACTTTCATTTTATCCATTAAGCACAAGACTAGAATAATGTAAGATTTGTTTCGAATTTCTTCAAGGCATGATGAAGAATATGGGATTGATTAATGTTTAGAACTTTAGAAGATGTGAGCGTGAGGATGAAGGGACCCGTCTCCTTTATTAGTGGAGAGTCCGAGAGTGATGTGATTGTCACATCCCTCCTAAAGAAAGGATAAATATGGGTGCTTTTTATTTTATTTTTCTCACGGTATTAACATATTATATATTAATAATTTTTATTATATATTTTTAATTAATCATTGATATTTGATTTATTGATTGACTAATTCAGATCGAGTTTATATAATTCATTATAGGGAAGACCCTCCTAACTCAGTTTATTCTATTTATAAATTTTAGAGTTTCGACCTCTAATCTTACTTAAAGAATATAATATTTCATCTAACTATATTAAATGATTATTGGTTATTGTATAAATTTTGATTGTGTATTTTTTTAATAATAAATGGATTACTTTTTCATCTCGTGTTCATACCGGATATCAATGAAAATGTTGGATAACTAAATAAAGTACAATCATTAATAAACTTTTTCTTAGGTTAAGTGGATTTAAATTTTCATGTTCATAGTTAAATTTGATTTAATTTATTTTAATGAATCGATTTATTATTTATATATTATAAAGTATATTTATTATCTAAATTCAAGAAACATTTTTAGTGGTGAAGTGAATATTGTTCATCCTGACTAATTAAGATTTGACTGGTTTTATGTGTATATATATATGTGTGAGTTTATCTAAATTTGAAATTAAATATATATATCTTGTAATATTATTAGAATGATTATTATATTATTATAATTAAATTTTTAAAAAATAAATTTTAGGGTAAACTACACATTTAGTACCTAAATTATTTTATGCTTGTTACCTAAATTTTATTTTTTTTTTAAAATCATACCTAACGTTTAGTTTAAGTTTCATTTTGTAACCTCATCGTTAAAAATTTAACTGTGATGTTAACGTGTTACCATAAGATAATGCCACATCATCATTAAAAAATAAAAAATCACGTAAGTAGTTCCGTTAATTTTTTAACGATGAAGTACCAAATTGAAACATAAACTAAATATTATATTATTTAAAAAAATAAAGTTTGAGTATCAAAATGGAATAAACATAATAACCTAGGTACTAAGCTTGTAGTTTTCCTAAATTTTATTATTTAATTTAAATTCCTATCGGACCAATATAAAGTAAAACAATAATTAGTTACACTTGACTCGGACCAGACCAAACTTCCTTGACCGGATGAATCATCCACCTCTTCAACAGGTCTGATCCTCAATTTATCGTCATGTCCTTTGTGCACTCGCTCAATTAGGGTTGGACGGAGATAATCGTCTTAAAAATTTAAAATTTTCATATATTTTATATTTTTATGTATTAGTTAAGTATGATTTTCTATTTTGATAAATATGGAGTGAATACAAGGAACATAATATATTTAAATACTTTTAATTTTTTAATAATAAACATTCATATTTTGAAATATGTAATATTTGAATATGATATCTCAAAGATAATAATAAATTCTTTAACCGTGGTTTGGTTGATGCGATTTTTAACATCTTTGCTTTAAGAATAAAGTGCTCTTTTCCCTCCTTTCAGCATAAGTATGTGTAGCGTATATATTAGATATTTACACTAAGCTAAGGCCTAAGCAGAGAGAGCGTTGCCATTTCTATTATATATATATTTATTTGGTTTAAGCTTCATATCTTTAGGGTATAAGCCGATGGGTGTTCCTCAAGCTCAACCACCTTCGGCTCCTCACCTTTATCCTCAAGCTCTTCAACTTAAACTCTACCAAGCATTCATATTCTCAATCCCCATCCTTTTCTCAATCATTCTCTTTCTCTTGTTTTACTTGTTTTTCCTCAAGAGAAGAGCCTCTAATCTCTCCAACTCTCGCCCTATTCTTCCTACTACTACTAATTTTAATCCCACGGTAAGTCCTGATATTTAATTCAATACTTCATTCATCATGCATCGTTTCGTAACTTTTTCATATTTTACTGGTTTTGCTTGCATTTACCATGCAGCCTTGTCAATTGAGTTTGGAAAGGGAGCTTACAGATAAGCTGCCAACGGTTTTATTTGATGAAGAATTGAAGACTAGGGATACGCTGTAAGTTTTCGTATTGGTCATTTCGGTTTAATTATGTCCCCAGTTCCTGTAATCTTCCCACTTTCTAAGTTGAAAACACCGTCGATCTCAGTGGAAATCAATTAACAGTGTTATTCATTGGGCTTTCATTTTTTAGTCAGAGAAGAAGAGAAGACGATTCCTGGAATTATAAGTAGAGATACTAAATCACAAGAGTCGAAAGAATAAAAGGACTAGAAGCATAATTAGACCATCATTTCTTTACTGTTAAACTTATTTTTTTTTATTTTTACACTAAAATTATTGATAATTTATAGTAACTAATAAGAGACGAGGCTAGGGAACTGGCAGGGTGCTGCCCCCTTAAATGGTAAAAACTTTATTTTGGCCCCCCTTTAAATTCTAAAATTTTAAGTTTAGATAATAATAAAATTATATTCTGACCCATGAATGATAAAGTTTCAATTTAATTCTTTTGAAAATTATAAGATAAATCAATGGTAAAATTATATTTTAATTCTTAAAAAATTCTAACTTACTCATTACCCCCAAAATATTAAGAATTCGGTCCCTGTAAGTAACAATACATTATGTGCAATCACTGTTGCCTATAATCCAATATGCCCTACACCATGTGCCTTTGAGGTGTGACTATATATATAACAGAAATTGATAAAAAAATGATTCTATGGAGAAAAGAATGATGGGAAATTGACCATCAATAAAGTGGCTGCCCATCTCAGATGAAAACTTTGCTTAATTTCCAGAATCTAATGCTTTTCACATGCTTTTTTTTTTCATTTTTAATTAATGACTATTACCCACAACGTATTTCAAATATTTTGATAGCAAATGGAGAAATCAACAAATGAATTAGGACCATCCATATCAAAGCATAGAATAATGCTAGTGCCGGATTCTTTAGTATCAATCCCATGTTGAATTCCTTTAATCAATATAACAACTAGTTTGTGGTCAGTTGGTTCAAGTCTTAGGTGCAATACACACAAGAGATTGGCAGACACTCGTAGGAAAATGAAATCGCCTTCCATGAGAGGCGTTCGATATTATAAGGAGGTATGAACCGGACTTAGTAGTAAAAGAGAATGTTGTTCTTTCTAGACGTCTTGGGTTCGAGCATTTGTGTCTGCATGGTGTGTGCGTGCGTGTTGTCAATTAGTTAAGAAAATTCTAAACAAATACTACCTTATAATCATCTCAGACTATTAAAAAAAACATATATTATAAGATGATTTTATCCATATATAACTCAATCTCAGTATCTATTAAGCGACCTTAGTGGTAAAAAGAAGTGTTGTTCTCCCTAAAGATTTCAAGTTTTAATAACTATATCTTCAGGTTTGAATAATTTTGTTGTAAATAATACAACATAAAATGCACGCTACATGTTTAGCATATTTTTTCCTATGACAAAGTAATTTTCTAGTGTGTGTTTGAGTGTATCAATTTGAGAGCCATCCATACTCAATTTAGTAGACTAATAGTTTAAGCATACTAGAAAATGTTTTCAATCTATGATCCTAAGATTTTGTTCATTAAAATATATGTCATCAATAAGTTCAATTTTTTTTGAATAGATATTATATCGAAATCATCTCATACTATTAAAAGTAATGATAAATTATTGAAGCCGTTGAAAGTGATAGTTTCTTAAATAATGACATAATACTCGTATTGCTAATATAGGCGCAAGATAATTTATTAAAATTTAGGATAAAAAATTTGAGAATGAAAATTTTATTAATTAAATCGTTAAAATTCATAACCTTTTTACTTATAGTTTATAGTTTTGTGTACTTCTCTTGGAGCTTCGTTCGGGTACCTTTTGTCGGTTTGTTATTTATGTTTTGTGTTCAATTTGTTTGGTTTCCTTGTATGTGATTTGTATAGGTTTGATATGGTACATTGTGTCCATGATACAGTGTCTTGTATTTGATTTATCTTATAATAGTGGGTATATTCTTTTCCTTGGGGTTTTGCTAATTGCATGATCTGATTATGAGTAAATTTTCAATAAAACACACTTTTCCTTTTAAAAAAAACTTATCTACCTTACAATTGTTTTACCATTACACAAATCTTAGAGCTCTTGACATTGACATTGAAAATTATCGTGAGAAACATTGTGATTTTGTTTTTAATAGTATGAGGTGGGTATAAGATAATATTTGTTTAGAATTTTCTTAACCAATTGACATTGTACACAAATTATGCAAATATAACTGTTCGAATCTAGATCTATAAGGAGAATACCGTTCTCTTTTACTATTAAAGACATGAAGCCACTTAATGAATTCGAAACATTGTGAATTTTAAGCAATGAGTAAAGGTTGTTTAACCATGTAGTTAGGCCTGTAAACGAACTGAACGTTCGGCGAACCGTTGGGCAGGAAGTTCGTTTATGTTCGTTTATTTACTAAATGAACGAACATGAACAGATGACTCGTTCGTTCATTTACGTTCATTAACATTAGGTAATATGTTCGTTTATGTTCGTTCATTTATGTTTATGTATATTCATTTATGTTTGTTTTTCATTTAAATGAATGAACACGAATAAACTATATTTCTTAATGAACGAACATGAACAAAAAAAATTATTCGTTTATGTTCGTGTTCGTTCATTTATTCGGTTAAAGTTAAACGAACGAACATGAACATATCTCGTTCGTGTTCGTTCGGTTCGTTTACATGCCTACATGTACTTTAAAGAGTTTGGGTAGCCAAGGATATGGAAATCACATAGAACAATTCTTTCTGGCCAAATACATTAAGGATGATGCCAATAAGGAAAACCGTAACTCCATTGATACTATTTAGTTCCTGTGGGGATGCAACTGGGTTGCTAATACCATTTGAATAGGTGGTGGGCTGTTTTTCATAAGATCAACAACAATGGATATAATAAGATTTTTTTTTAATGGAAACAATGAAATTTAATTTAATATTAGAAATCGTATTTGTATACCCGTATAAAATTGACGATAGGATGAAACTAAAATGATATGTGCATTTAGATATTATTATTTTTAATTATCTATGTTAAACGTATAAATTCATCGAGTGACTTTAATGATTAAAGGAAGTGTTGATCTCCTTAAAATCTCGGGTTTGAGCAGTTATATCTTCATGATGTATGTCTTATTGGACATTTTGGGTTAGCCAATGACAATGCACACATATCCTGCAGACATAACTGCTTAAACTCGAGACATCTAAAAAGAATAACACTTCCTTTTATCACTAAGATCACTTGATAAGTTCATATCCAACCCTCGATTAGTATATTTGATTGTATTGTAATTTGCATAACTTATTTTTGGGAAATGTAATTACAGATGCAGCGTTTGCTTGGGTGAATTTGAGATGAAAGAGGAACTGCTCCAACTCCCATCATGCAAACATGTGTTTCACATGGAATGCATGCATCGTTGGCTACGCTCCAACTCTACTTGTCCGCTTTGTAGATGTTGTGTCACCCTTACTATTATTCCCATCACCAAACACAATATGCCGTCTTAGCCACAACATAGTTTCGTTTTATTCTCACATGAATTGTACATTAACATCATCGGAAAATAGAACTATACTAACGGATCGACAAACTAATAGTTAAGTGATTATAAAAATTCTAAGTCCATATTAATGTTTAAGGTTCAAATTTTGTAAAACCAGTATCCTCCTCTAACTTTGAATGTTTGAGAGAAACAATGACACTTACGAAGATAAAGAAACGACTACTATTTTGGAACGGAATTTGTAGATGTCTATTATAGTGTCAATATTCTCAATGAAGTTTATTTTATTTGTAAACGTCAAAATTTGAACATTTGACTTTATTTAAGGGATCTAATATGTCATCTAGTAGACCATTAGTTGTTGGTAAACTTTTAAAATTATTAATTCCCAAAACATCTAAAAAGGCATTATTGAATGGGTTGGTTTAAGTTTTACACATGGAAAGAAATAGTTGAGTAATGAAAGCATGATTGGAGATTAAAGAAATAGTAAAATAAGGTAGTGCGTATGGGTTGAGCTTAGTGCGTAAGTCATCATTTAGTGATGAACATACACTGCCTTATGATTATACCATAGCATTTAGAGCAGTGGGCCAACTTTCCCGGTAAAGCTTTTAATATATATATATATATATGTAGGCCTGAATTTCATTACAAAACATGTAGGGGACATGTTTCGCTGCTTGTGATGACAGATCAACAGAAGAGCTGAGCAAGGGAGTGAAAGAAAATATGGATTTCCCCTTTCAAACTGTTAAACCCAACCCACAACATAAAGGTAAATTTATAAATAAAGGTTGGATTACCTAGATTCAACATATTTCATGGAAGACAATAAGGGCGTAATCACTCAATTTTTCCCAACATAAAAAAACCGTTTTGTTCAACCTAATTTATAAATAAATAATTTGCTTATTTTTAACAAAATAAACATTTTATTTATTTCTTTTTCATGCCCAAATGTAAAAATCAAATAAATCCATTAACAGCCCGTTACACCCTTGACCCACCAACCATGTTTGTTGGCCCATTGGCCCACAACATTAGGCAAGGAAGGAAACCCTAGGGAGATCTTGCGGCCAACATCGCCAGTCACTCCAGAACCTTCCAGCTAGTTGGGTGTGTGCACATACGCGCTAAAGGTTGAATGCCTCCGCACGCAGATGAACTGACCCCACGTGTCGACGACGTCTCTCTTCTATAGACTCTTCTCCAACATTTTGACAACAAATCTTTCTGAAAAGATCCGCTTTTGAAAAAAAAAGGATTTTTATTTTCAAAAAGAAAATCAAATCCAAAAAATAAAATACATATCTCACTAATCTCATCTGTTTATGATACTCTAAAATATATCATAACAATCACGTATGTGTACAATCGTCACCAAGTAACAAAGTGGAAATCTTTTTGAGATTTCAGATGTCGAACCTACAAAGAGCAAAAATTTATAATTGAGTTTAAGAAACAAGTGTTGATTGAATTGGCATATAAATGAAACAAATATTAAAATAAGGAATATAATGGAATAGAGGCAGAGTATGCTACAACACTAGGAATAACAGAGAGTCAGAAATCAAATAAAGTGGGATGATAAAAGGGATTCCTCGCTCAATTCATGCAATTAACTTAACTACAATGTATTTAGAATTAATTTCTATTAACGAATCAATATGAATTAACTCTCATTAAGACAAACAATCACATAGTAATGATGCTAAACATTTGACAACATACATCTCAGCATGCATTAGCTTCTCACAATACCAACACCACGAAATCAGCATGCAAATCATTCAATTTATCTCTAAATAAAATAACATCATATTTAAATAATGAAATCTCTTTCACCATTCAAAAAGCATAAGACACAAAGTAACAAATTAAATAGCATTCATAAAGACAAGGGTTTCACCCAAACGACTAAGTTTAGAACATTCAACACCCACTAGTATATAAAAACAACTTTCTAAACTTTCCTATCTCAGGCAAAGTCTAAGTAGTTGAAGTGATCTTGTTGGCTGCCGATTCTACTCGGCAAAGATTGATCCCTAGATGTTGCAGCACTCCCTAGATGAGTAGATTAGGCAGCCATGGAAAAGAGACGAGAGATTTTGTGTGAAAGATGATAGAATGAAGAATTGATGATTAAATGAGCCGAGGGAGGTCCTATTTATAGGTGGAGGAGGTCAAAATTGTCTCCAATGAAGACTCTCCATATAGCAACAGCTGGCTAGAGAGGATACAGTTGTCCCATCCAGTTGTCCCTAATCAAGAAGGTTCTGCCCAACCTAGTGAGTCATCAGTTGTTGTAGCATTTGCTTCTTCGCTGCAACATCTGCACCTTTTTTAGAAATTAGTCCAAGTTAACCAAACTTTAAACAATGTTAAAATATATAAAAAATAAGACTAAACTAAATCTAAAATACTTTTAAACATACTTAATTTCAAGCTAAACCTAGGTATAAAGTGCTAAAATGATAACTCTTTTGAAGAATTATCAGTTTAATGTAGAAAGACATATCAAATATATAGTTTTAAGGGAAAGAAGATCTCATCGAGGGCTATAAAAGCCATCCATGCAAAGAAGATATGATGTGAGTTATATTTTTTAGAAAAAAATCCAAAGAAAATTGAGAGAAAGAGAGAAATGATTCACTTATCTTTGATCACCGAAAGGAGACACGGTCTCCTAGAGAACGGACACTCATTAGAGAAAGGTAACATGTGAGAGCTACTTCATCCTACGAAGAAACTTTACAATTTTGAAAACAATTGACTATTGTCTTTTGCTGAATATTTATCATCCAAGCTGAGACTACAAGATTGATGATATCTAAAACATTAATCTTTTCTGGATCAGATTCTCCCAACTCATAGTCCTCTAATACTATATGGTAAAATCTCATGCGGTAATGCATCTTGAAAGTTGCTATTACCCCTGCATTATATGGTTGGATTCTTGATGCCATGTATGGTGATAAAAAATACAACTTAACATTATGTAGCCCTTTAATATTTTTTAGATGGGTTGGACAATTATCTACCACCAAATTTTTTTTCTACCATGAATTTTTCGGTGCAGTAAATGAACATATTCATCAAAAAGCATACTAGTCATCGATGCTCTTGTGTTGGAAAGATATTGACAATTCAAATTGTTCATGTTGACATTTTTGAAGTAATGTGGCTTGCGTACTTTCCAATGACCCATAAAGAAATTTTTCAGAGCTATATCCTCATTGCAACAAATAACAATTGTAAGTATTTCTTTGCTTTGTTTTCTTCATTCAAGTTGTTTCGTTGCAAGAGTATGATCAGCTTGTAACTTGAAAAATAAACCAATTTCGTCCATATTAAAAACATCATTCCTATGATACTGGTTTATTTTTATCTTATAGCCACCAATGTGTTTTCCATGTCCTCTATGTCAACAAAACTACTCTCTCCAAAGCGATGAAATGACTTGATATCATGTCTTAGCTTGAACTTCTCAAGCCAACCTTAAAAAAAATTGTGCGACTCAGGAGGTTGTTGAGGGTATAGAAGTTTTATCGTCTCTCTTACCTTTTTTAAAATTAACTCTTTGGATATGTTTACATGTTTTTGGCATTAGAGAAACCACTCATAAAGAACATTCTCAATCTTTGGATATTTTGCAGTGTATGTCATTTGGTATCCCCTTTATCTAAGTTAGTCGAAAAATACTCAGATGATCGCTTGAGTGTGTTCGATATTGAACCTTGACTAACTTTCAAATGAAAATTTTCATCAATCCAATATTACAAATATTTTTGAGTGCATGTGGGGTGATCTTTCTTATACTCACGTAGTGCTTTACATATTTGATTTGTCATGGTTAATTTTGGGATACCTTTTAAATGTAAAGTCATAGTTGGTTGGTTTTGATTTGAATTGACTAATTAGGAATGTTTGATGTTGTTTATATAGTGGTTGATTTCCCACCATACATGAACTTTCATTAAGTTTTAATTAGTACTACGTACTACAATGAACTTTGTTTTTTAGGAGTATGTATTATATTTAATTAGTCACATTGTACAAGAAAATCATTTAATTAGTTAATACAATATATATGTTTTATTCATGAAGAATAATGTCGATTCGTTGAATCATAAAAAACTCTTTAAATTAATAAATTATTAATTTATTGATTAATTAATATCTCTTTAAATTAATAAATTTACGTGGTCCCGACATTATTAATTTAAAGAGGTTTAATCTCAACATAATGTTTGAGATTGGTGAATCCCACCCATAACTATTATTGAAAAAAAAACTATTAAGTAATGCAAGAACCCTACCACTCACATATTCCTCCTTTTTTTCTCCTCCACCAAAAAAGAGAAATGATGTGCTCAATCCTCTGTCTTTGCTCAATCTTGTAATTCAACTCCAACACACATAATAGTCAACACTCACTACTATAGAACATAATGAGTTAATGACGATGACTAGCAGGAAAATCTTACTGAATCTATTATGCAACTATAAACTATCACTAATACAATAGGAATGCTTCTAAGCTTCTTTGCCTTGCTTTTGGGTCCTCATGATATTGTCCACCATCTGACAGAGACGGGTTATAAGTAAAAAAAAGCAGACCAAAACACATAATTGAAGAAGTTGATGAGACTAAGGGCAGCTAACATCCAATAGAAAAGGTCTAGCCTGTCCTTGTTAAGGTCATTGTCACTCAGCCACCCCCCATGAGACGAAGAAGCTGTAATCTTGTTAACAAGGGAAACGAGTATGGAGCTAAGGTAGAACCCAAACGAGTAGGAGCAGTAGGTCATGGCAATCAGAAACGATTGCATCCCTTCCAGGGACTGCTTATAGAAGAATTCCAAAAGACCCACTGCCGTGAACATCTCCGAGATCCCAAATATAAGGAACTGTGGGGCAATCCAAAAGATGGACATGGTTCCATTGTCGTCATGTGAGTTCGAGACTCTTCTTTTGCTCTCGACCACGGCAGCCGATACCATCGAGAACGTCGCGACAAATAGCCCGACACCAACCCTTTGAAGAGGAGTGATTCCAGAGTCATTGCCGGTGATTTTTCTGGCGAGTGGGATGAAGAGTGTTTCGTAGAGTGGGACGACGAAGATGAGCATGATGTAAGGGATGGACTGCAAGGTGGCGGGTGGGATTTTGAAGCCGTTGACGATTTCGGTGTTCATTGTGCTCCCTTGTTGGACTGAAAATGTTTGGAGCTGTGCCAAGATGGTGTTGAAAATGATGGTGCAGGCAAATATGGGAACAACCGAGATGATTATCTTCACTTGCTCCACTTGGCTCACTGTGCATAGTCTCCATGGACTCTCACTTTTTCCATCCTGGGTCTTGATACATGCCTTGTCAAGGAATCTACAATATCAATATCATCAAAATCATTACAAGCCTTAAAAATAAATATTACTATCTTTTTCATGGACCATTTCCATAAATTTAGGTCAAAATGTGCTTTTAGTACCACTACTTGGTTCAAATATGACATTTAGTCTTGTATTGTAATTCAACATAATTTGATTATTTATTTTTTTAATTTCGATATCGATCCCATTATACAAAATTCCTAGTTTCATCTCCGTTTTGCATGTAATACTTTAACCTCACCTGAACTTATTGGTATGAAGAAGGTTTCCGACACCGACCGGTGTATTCGGGGCATTGCTTTGACTTACATGGAGCATCTCTGCATTTGAAGGACAGATTTGCTTTCTTTTTCTTACTGCAGCAACAAAAACCTGTAGACAATTGGAACCCAATCAATGAAAAAGAGAAAACTCTATGTGCTCAACTTCTTTCACTTTCTCCTTTACAATCAAGTGTTTCTACTTAAATAGTTGCAAATTGTCGATAAATTGACTACTGCAATGCAATGAGCCGTCCAAAAAGATAATATTATATACAAAAAGTTGAGGCAATAAGAAGATTTCATATCATCACCAAGCCTTAGAAAAGAAGTAATTAGAAAGTTTTCAAAGTTTCTTTTAGTTTTATTGCTTTTAATAGTCATTATGAAACAGAGGTTCACAAATAGCTAAGTTGCTTAACAATCAAGGCACTGCACCTGAGCGATCGGAGTAAAAATACTTCCTCTCGGGAGCTTGTTCTGATAAAAGTTCGTACCCGAAATCAAGCTGATCATCCCGATTCCCATAGCAGCGGCGGAGACACCGAATCCAACGTCCATCCCGGAGTGACTTTGGACCCAAACCAGAAGAGTGAGTGCAACTAACTCTCCGATGCAAAAGGCGAAGTATGCGATGTTGAAGTAAGTGGAGAGCTTCTTGGATTGCTTGGAGTCTTCCTTGGTGAATTGGTCAGCCCCAAGCGATATAATGTTGGGTTTGAGGCAACCACTTCCTAAAGCAACCAAGTAGAGTGAAAGAAACAATATTAAGGCCTTGTAGCCCTTTGTTTCCTCACAGTGATCTCCATTAGAGACCATATCACAATGGGGTGGCCTCAGCTGTGGGAGATGTGCTTGAATGCAAAGTAATATAAAGCCCTGCAAACACCATCTAGGGATAAAAAAAAATGCTGTAATAACACCAGTTTTTTCAGTATTAAACGATTTTACTTACTGAGAGCTCCACGAATCCGAAAACCAACATGGTCCGGAAGCTGCCGAGATACGAATCAGAGAAGAATCCACCGACGAGTGCGAGGAGGAACACGGTTCCTATAAAGTTGGTGACTATGTTGGCAGACTTCGATAAAGGAAAATGCATCTGGTTGAAAACATAGGTTATTAGATTGTTCCCAACAGCTGCAATTGCCATCATCTCGAATGCTTGAAGACCTGAAAATCAGTTGCCACCGTTAAACCTATAGATGATTGCACGAGTTCTCCACTAGTAAAAGTAAAACACATTGAAAGAAAGGGAGACCAAGGACGAAGACAGCAGCAGTCATTCCACCATGCTTGTTAGCCTTGCAGGGCCGGCCTTTCCAATCAACAGACACCTCCTCCATGAAACCAGAAATGGATTCTCCTTTGACTTTCATTCTTCCTTTCTAAATCTGTATGTTACACAATAAAATGAAATGGTCGAGTAAGTTCTAAATTTATAATCAATTATCATGAAACAATTGCCGGTTATCTTTTTCTTGATGGTCTTGGCCAAGTTGACCTAGTAGTAGTGCCAATGCCATGTCCCATCACATCCATTAGATTTATTAATGCGGTCAAAATTGTATTTAAGATTAAGCAAGTCAGCTTCCACAACAAGGTAATCAATAGCTTCTGATCTTCCCACTTAGGTCGAGAATCTAGATGTTGGTGGTTCTGCTGCCATGGAGACTGAGTAATGCCAAAACACATTGGTCATTCCTATATATCATCATTATCCTTTTTTTGGTTCGTATTGTCATCTCTTAAATGTGTGGGTCATAGCCCATAATTAGTATAGTTCACAATTAATTTCATTGAAACATCCAGATTTAGTGTAATGAGTTATTAGATTTCTTAAGTAAGAGTAATGATGATTCACGTTATGAAATTTAAGAATAAAACAAATTGAATTGAAAGAGTTGGCATCTACAAAACTCGAATGATCAAATCAAAACTTGCATTCGATAACTTTGATCGAATGATCGTGGATGTTCACCTCTAATCTATGTAATAGGTTTGAATCACAAGAATTATTTGATTGTGGTACAGTGAGTAATTTACTCCTATTAAGAGTGCAATCTATACGATAAAATTGACAATAAAAAAGCTATAATTTAATTTATTATAATCACATTTTGTTTAACCTTAAAAATAGGGTGATACTATTCGATTGAATTAAGTAAATTTTTTTAATAAATCTAATTGAGTCATAACCTAATTTAATTTGAAAAAAGAAAGTTAATCCAAGTGAAATAAATTCAAAATCAAATAAACTTATTTAAATTAAATTAAAATCTTATTAGCAATATCATAAAATTTTGAATTAGAAAAAATAAATTTAACACCATATAATATATTTAAACTCTTTTAAAGCAAGACAAGACAAAAACAAGATATTTTAGTTTCGTAAACTAAATTTGATAATTTATTATTTACTTAAATACTTAATTTATTGTTTTAGGCCAACGACAGAACATGGATCAGAATGAGGAAACAGTGTATCACTGTATTAAAGAAGAAACCCAAAGTTTAAACTTAACATATGGACAACCATATCATGGATCATTGGCCTTGTAATATAGTCCAATCTTCTAGTTGATCTTTCTGCAATCCAGCCTGACCTCTCCATTGGTACCAGTCAAGGGGCTTATGTTTCCCATCTTTATCATGGCCTTAGCAAAGCTAGTAAAGAACTGGCTTTGGCTGCTTGCGAACCTGTTGACAATGGCCACAGTCTCAGCCCCGTTAGTGGAGAACAGCTCTTGATCTGATTGAAGGAGTCCCATGCGGGTCTGAAGGTTCAAAAAGTACTTGTTGTCAAAGCTAAGAGAAGTTTGTTCGTCAAGATCGATCAAACTCGTGACATCTCCGCCTTTAGGACATCGTTGTTGAAGTGCTTTCGCGTACGTGGCGTTGAGGGTCGGGTCGACTTTGCCGGATACGTTATTGAAATTGTAGAGTCGGTCCATGAAAGCAGCGCATTGTGCCCTTCCAAATGTGTGAACACCTGAGAAGTAACCGGATTGAAAAAATCGTATTGACCCAAATTTTGATCCGATGTAACTTTATTAGTGGAATAATTACCAGACAAAGCAACAAGATCGGTGGAATCAAGTCCAACGCTCTTGAATTTGGCTGCAATATTGGCAAGGCTGTCATGTTGAGATGGGATGCCTCCGATTCCTTCACGGTGTGCCGTCCGACTATCCCTTCTTCCTAGTGGGATTTGCCATGATGGACCTCCACCCTGCAGACCAAACATTCGCTTTAACATTATTGTTCTACTACTAACTTGGAAGTAATACAAAAGATTTGAAGCATTAATTGGTAATGGAAAATAATACCATGGTAACAGAAATTTGAGCAGCAAGGGCCAAAATATCGGCACAGGAGACAACACGAGGACAAGCTTTCTCTAACGCTGTTTTGATATCATCGATAACTGCATATCCATCGGTTGAAAGGTTGGGGGTGGCAGTTTTTTCACTGTCCGTACCATTCAACAATAGTGAGGCATCGCAACCCTGCATGCGACGTATATTAATGTTAGTGGTTATAGGTATGTATACGTACGTTTCGGTATCAATGAGGAGCAAAAATTGTTGTTACATTAACGAAACAATCATGAAATTGAAGGCGAACAATCTTTGGAAATATCCAAATGTCATTTCCTTCAGCTTGTTGCAGCACACTACGAACAATACTGGAAACATTTGGGCAGGTTTTGGCATAGAAAGTGGGACTAAGTTGAGCATGGGATCCCCCGAGCATCGTTGCAGCAGCTAGCAGAAAAAGAGTGGTAATCATTTGAAACCCACCATTTCTTTTTCTTCGACGTGTTAATGATTTTGAAAGGAAAATGAGATACTGAAGAGACCCTATAGAAGATCCCTTATATAGAGGGATTGCCATAGCTGGGGGGTTACAACTTGCAGATTTGGGCATTATCTGCATGGGAGATTGACTTTCAGTGTGAATCACTTATTATCATTTCATCACTTTATCAATAAAGCAGACGCGTTATTCTGATCTAAGTTTTGATGCTTGACTTAGAAATCTAAGATCTGAAGATGATGCAAATCCTTTTGTTTTTCTGAACATTTTTAGAGTCACGAGCTGAATAGGGATTCAAATCTTCCAAGATTCCTTTTATACTGTTGTAAACATGTTTGTTAATTAGTGAATAATAGTTTCAACCTGGAAGTCGTTATTAATATTATATTAATAGTTCCAGGCACGAATCAATATTATATGCATGTGATAGAAAATTCTAGCGTGGAAGAACACGTTAAACGATGAATATTATTAAATTAATTAATAAAATATTAAATTATAAATTTCTAAACGTATAATTTTAAATTAGTTAAAAATCTAAATGTAATTTAATTAAAATATAATATTTAAAAAATATTAGTTTTTAAGTAAACTATACTATTGACCACCTAACTATTTACCCTTTTTACTTTAACTACCGATTTTACAATTTTATCAATCGAGTCACCTAACTATTTAAATCTTGTCAATCAAGCCTCCTACCATTAAATATTAACGGAGGAGATGATGTGCAGTTAATAAAATTTGTATAATTAAAAATTTAATTCTCATTACTTACACATTCTATTAATTTGGTCATAATTTTTAATTAATTCAATAAATTTAATCCTCAATCAGATGGTGACACGTGTCACTATATGATTTGTTATTTTGTCTTAATATTTTAATATAATTTAATAAAATCTCCATCCAATCAAATGGTGTCATGTGTCACCAATTGAATGAATAGAAAATTAATTGAATTGATAATTACTGCTGGTGGGGTTTGAACACATGACGTAAGGAGAGGAAGCAAATGTCCCAACCACTAGGTTGCACCATTCAAATGACAAACTTGTCACGACATAATATATATAGTTAATGAAAATAAAAAAAAGGAAATGACCTAATAAGAACTCCAACATGGAATAAATGAATAATACAACATGGAATAATTGAATAATACAATAATATGATATATATACACAAATATTATAACCGATTAATATGTGAATGTATTTTATTTATATTTTAAATCATTTTAATGAAAAAATAAAAATAATTTTAATATATTACAATTGAAATATAACGAAGAACATAGTTGACTTAGAATTTTCCTGATAGTTGAAGCATTATCGTAGTAACCATTTTAACTTATGCATTGACTTGCTTATATCCCGGTTAGAGTAAGAATTTTATATTTTATTATTTATTCATTATATATTTGAAGAAAATTTTACGAGAAACTTGCTTTTATTTAATTGGTCTATTTTAATATAGAGTTGTTAAATAAGATTAGATCCGATCGATGTTATATATTTTAAAATATAAGATATGATACATTTCAGTTCAATAAATTATAATAATGAAGATAATTTATTAATTTAAAATATGTAAAATGATACATTTCAATTATAACATATTAAATTCACTTTTATTTTAATTTTTGCATTAAAATGTGATTTAAAATATAAATAAAACATATTCATTTATTAATCAATTATAATATTTATTTATATATTTTTTATAATTTCATATTATTCAATTATTTCATGTTTGAGTCCTTATAAGGTTATTTATTACCATTAACTATATTATAAATTATATAGGTTATCTTTTGTATACTAGAAAAATTTATTGGTCTAGCTTAGTGGTTAGGGCGCTCAATTTTTTGGTTTGTGTCCCAGGTTCAAACCCCACCAACATCAATTATTGATTTAATGTATTTTCCATTCATTGAATTGGTGACACGTTACACCATTTGATTGGATAAAAATTTTATAAAATAAAAAATATTAAAAAATCCAATCACACGGTGACACATGTCACTATCGGATTGAGAATTAAATTTATTGAATTAAATAAAAGTTATGACCAAATTAATAGAATGTGTAAGTAATGAGGACTAAATGTATAATTATAAAAATTTTATTAACTGCCACATCATCTCCTCCGTTAATATTTAACGGCAGATGGCTTGATTGACAAGATCTAAATAATTAGGTGATATGATTTACAAAATTGAAAATTTGGTAGTTAAAGTAAAAGAGGTAAATAGTTTGGTGGTCAATGATATATTTTATTATAAAAACTAATGTTTTATAAATATTTTATTTTAATTAAATTATATTTAGATTTTTTAACTAATTTATAATTATATACTTAATATTTTATAATTTAACGTTTTATAAATTAATTTAATGATATTCATCATTAACGGTGCTCATATGTGTTGATCTAACGTGTCGGCATCATCCGATAATGCATCAATATTTTTTTGCCGCATCAAATCAAATTGCTTGCATAATTAATGGAGATGCAGTTAACCCATTCAGGCAAATTATATGCAATGTTTCTTCACCATATTTTAGTTTCTGATCATTATTTTTT